TGATAGATTCTAAGCATTGTCCAATTGTTCGCGATAATGCGCTTGACCGCGCATTGTAATAACTTCACACCATTTTCTCATAGGCGCATGAACAAAAAAAAAGACATTTCTTTCTATAACAAAAAAGGAATTCTATGATATTTGTTCCTTCACACTGAGAAAAATTTTCATCGCGTAAACCAATTAAATAGTGTTTTCAATGGTTAATTTTTCCGATTACATTATGGATACATCCGATGAAATTCGACCGATAAAATTTTTCACCGAATATATCCGTTTGTTATTCTATATTTGGATTATCCGATTGTATTTAATCGGGTATTGTTCTCAGTGTGACATCGTCCTTCCATGTAAATGTCCTTTCATCTATAGACGAAGTTCAATTACATAATAACAAACGGATATGTCCGATTAAATTGTATATCCGATGATAAATATGATCGGTTTTTCGATTAAATTTCATCGGTAACTGCACTTCATCGGATACATCCATAATTCAATCGGAAAAATTAACCATCGAAAACACACTATTTAATTGGTTTACGCGATGGTGATTTTGTTCAGCGAAAATGTCAAAATTTCACGACAGCGACGGAGGCAATTGGTAACGTTCGATACGCGTATCGTGCGAAGGTACTACTTGATACCCGTCGTTTCGAACGCACGTACAATCGGCGAGTGCATTGACATTACTACGCTGTGACGCGCGCATGTTAATGCGTTGTGACACGGGGCAACACAATGAAAGACGGCGTGAGATACGAGCGCGGATCGTTGTGACGTATCCGCTTTACCCGACATAGAACTTAGTTCGGGAAGCAAGCGCGCTACACGTCAACATGTCCAAATAAAGTGCCGCGTATATATCGCGGGCGCGTATTATGCTCTAGCCGGGCAATTAACTTGCTACTTGATTAACTGGGTAGAGCCTGTCAACTTTCGCGAAGGAGGACTTGACCGAGGAGAGAGAAGAGCGCGAAGACGTGAAGACGCGGGAGGAAAGTCGGACTCGAGGGCATCGAAGTTACGAAAGGGGAGTAAAAGACGAACGCGCGCGGGACGGCGGGTGGGGGGGGGGGAGGGCGGGAGGAAGGGGAGTGCGGGGGCCCTCTTCGACGTAGAGACGCGCCGAGGAGGAAAAAAGAGAAGGGGGAGGAGCGGAGAGAAGGAGAGAAGGAACCGCGTCCACACGGTGACGGTCAGCGAGCGCGAGGTGACCTCTGACCCCTTCGTGCGTCCTCGTCTGCGCCCGGCATCGCTCGGTCGGTGCCTCTCCGTCCCACCGGCGGGACTCAAACGACTCCGTGGGGCCCTCCGTGAGGGCCCAGCGTGGGCGAAGCTTACGCGCGGGGGAGTAAGAGGCGGCCAGGGTGAGCGGGAGGAGAGAATAAGGCGAGGGAGAGGGGCCGTACGGGGAGAGGGGTGACGAGTTGGCCCGCGGGCGTCCCGGGACCGTGAGAACACTACCTATAATATTATTTAGTCTGCCCGATGCCTCGGTTCGCCTCTCTTCTCTCTTGGCCGCGCTCTTTTCTCTCTCTCTCTCCCTCTCTTTCTCTCTCGCTCCCTCCCTCTTCCTCTCTCTCTCTCTCTCTCTCCTCTCTTTCCTCTCTCTCTCTCTCTCTCTCTCTCTCTCTCTCTCTCTCTCTCTCTCTCTCTCTCTCTCTCTCTCTCTCTCTCTCTCTCTCTCTCTCTCTCTCTCTCTCTCTCTCTCTCTCTCTC